CAGATGCAGATTAAGCTTTTTCCGACAGAAATGACAGCAGATAATCGTCGACTTCCTGAAAATATTTTCAACGATTTATCAGAAGCAAAAAATGAACCATGAGCAAAAATTTCTTAACTAAATTCATAGGTTCCAGCAAAGGCCTTCACTTTTTTAAACGAAAACAACGATTCCGAGGGCATTGTTTAAGAGAGATACTAACAAACAATCAGATTCTCCGTCAGATAAGCAAAATGAAATGAGCGAGTAGAGTTTGATGGGAATCTTGCCCTCTTATAGTGAACAGTGAGCAGAACCTAGGCGGAAGTAAACGACCAGCGATTTTATGCAATAAAAATCATACATTCGGTGGCAGGGAGGAGTAGTGTGCAATGAATCGAGCGGCTGGCAAAATGCTTGGTTGTTTTGCAGCTCCACGAGTGGTAAGTATCACCGTTGAAACATATGTGCCACACAAAACAAAGAATTCGTGAATGGCATTGAATTGCAGTAGAATGCAAGCAAAACCCGCACAAAATGCTGATATGTCCGTAGAATCGGCCTTTTTTGGCACTGAAAACATGAGATTAATTCAGACAACTTTCCATCACTGAGTTTTCCTCTTTTCTACATTCACTGGGCGAAAGAAGAGAAACTCGAATGTTTCGTTTTTTAGGTAAATTATCAATAAAAAAGTGTAGATTGGAGAAAGATACAGTTTGAAGTTTACCTTCATACAGCATAGATTCACGGCATCTTGAAACTCTAAAGCTTTACTCAGGGCTTGTATCGGGAAAATCGTTGAGCCCCTATTCCCTACAGGAGGCGAAACAAACACCAAGAACCCCAGTAAACTGGTTACAAGGCAATGGAACAGTGTTCGAAACAAGCAAAAAGTTCCCTCTGCCAGCTGGAGAGTCGATTCGAATTAACAGATGTTCCAAGTATTTTACCAACATCTTTTAACTAAGCAGAGATGGAAAAATTGCTTATAAGAGGATAATTAAGAAGCATAAAGTTGCATAAATCTGAAACGTCCGAAAAGTTGGAGGATTAGTAATTTACATGCAATCTGCATGAACTTTGCAACAATTCATTTTTACTAGCGTGATGACAAGGTCTAATTTGTAAAACCCTTCCAAGAAAAACTCACTGATAATGATTAGTAACGTACCGTTGAACTTGCTCGTAGCTGCCAGAAGCATAAGAAACATCGTCGGTTTTAACAACTGCGGCGTTTCTTTTTTTATGTATATCTACAAAAATAATTCAATCATCATCCAAGCACGTTTCAACTGCAATCTACGAGAAAACGAGTTTTAAAATAATCGAACTAATGATCTATCTAAGATTTCGCTTTAATTCTTTTTCGTAATTGAGTAGCAGATGATCTATTTTCGGCTCTTTTGGAACTAGAGGGCACGAATTTTACGTTAGAAAAGCAGGCAGTTCGTCAATTTCGATTCTAAATAGTTTATGCTTTTTTCTGGCTTCTTCAATAAGTCTGGCAGCTTTCAGTACAGCCAAAGCAGGGTTAACCACTGATCACCTTAGCAAGCTTAAATTTTCCCATCTTTTTCGGCCATCTACTTAATTCCTTAACTTATGCATCAAAAAATCTTCCCTATTTTCCAAAATATGCCTAAGCAGTGCAACAAAAACAATCCTGAAAAAAAAAACCTTCATGAAAGGATCGCTTATGGCACAACGTTCAAGTAGAACAGACAATTCCCTGAGAAGCGTCGCATCACATTCACCATTATGAGCACCAACATCGTTCATAACACCTCTAAAATATTCTATCACGGCAAACTTGCTTCAGATTGGCTCAAAAAAAAGACCTCTTTCCGGAAAAAAAGGAGATTCCAGGGATCCACGGACTGCACACTTACTCGTTCAGCGTTGCAACGGCGTTAAAAATATTTGATGATTGCTGTCGCAGGACTGATTGGTTTTGAGTGAGTAACTGCTGGCGGAGCAGCTGTAGCTGACCAATCTGAAGATGAATAAAATATAAACAAATTGAGCAAATTCAAATTTGTTTATCTGACTATTCCTGTTGCGCCTCTTGCTAATTCCTTATCTTGTAAAATCAGCTCAATCTGACCATCAGATGGTTTAGCACTGACCATTAGGTGCTATAGTATTGGCCAAATCGAAAAGATCGGTTTACCAGTTGGAGAACCATACTGTGAACTAACAGCTGTTCTATGTATTCAAATTACTAGAAACATCAAAATACAATTTTTTTTAAACAAATTCTCACAATAATTAAGGCAAAACGAGCAGCAAAAAATATTTTTCAACATTTGAAGATGTTTTAAATACGATTAAACCTGCTCAGTCAATACCAAAAACAAACTTATGATCACTGCATCAAGAACCAACCTTGCTGACAATACCGATAAAACGCGATGAAATAGGCGAAAATTTTGCCAAAGCATTATCAAAAATTTTTGATCTTGCACCAAGTGCCATCGCATCGACCGAAGCAATTTCGTTTAGCACTGTATTCATCATCGGCCCCACCAATTGAGATTGCAGCTCACAGAATACATATAAATTCTTCACAATATTAAATGATGCAATGCGATCCAATGCGTACAGCACCATTGGTGAAAGCGCTTCCTAAAAAAATAGGGAAATTATGTCAATTCGAATGAGTTAGCGCGCGAAAATCTGATCTTATCATTTTCAGAGATTAGAAATAAGTAACGCATTTCCGACGCACAAATCCCCATACCAATCTAAATTTTTCAACAACTAACCTGCAAAAATTCAGAAAAAAGGGAACTGAGTTAAGTGTTTCGAAATATAAGATCATTTCCATATTGTAGATAAAAATATGATTTAGCAGTCTGTGTTTCATCCCCAAGTTGTAAACATGGGCAAAATAATGGGCAAAAGTTCAAGTGCGATCCATTACAACGAACATAGGAAAGCAAATGAGATTTACGGAATTGTTAGGGGTTCTTTTTATCTCCTGTTTTAACCCAAAAACTGAAATACAGAAGATGAGAATAACAGGTTTTTTTGCTCGTTTCTGAAGATGACCATAAAATCCCGCTTGCTTGTAAAAGTTTATGTAAAATGAAAGTGCACGCAAGCAGTAAAGAACAGAAATTCAAATTCTATGCCAGAAGGCGGATGAATATCATAAGACTAGATTTCCCGTTATACAAATTTTGTTAACCAAAGCAGTGACAATAAAAACTTTGAAAGTAATATTTTCTGAAGGTCAACAAGCTTTTGTCTCTTGGCCATAAAATTCAGTTACCTGCAAAATGTTTAACGATTCTTTTGATAATACAGTTTTCTTCGTTTTTGAATCGCACCATATTCCCATTGAATTGACAAAATATGATGATCTGAAAGCGCTTTTCGGCTTATCCAAAACTCCGCTTGCGACATTCTAGAAGAAATTATAACAAGATTCACAGTTACAGCCAGAACTACACCTTCTGGACTACCTAGAGCAGCAGTTAAATAATATGTCCTTCAGTTATGCGGCTTACAGCTCTTCTTATTACTCTGACCAAAGCTGCAACGCCTGGTGGTCGGTTTGCTGGCGATCCTAACATCCGTTCGTATCGTTTTCTAATCGGCAAAACTTTATGCATGAGATTTCAGCATATCGAGTAAGACAACACGTTCGTTTTTTGGCAGATCGAGAAACATTTATTAGCAAGATAAAATCTGAGAATTTAATTTTGATAAAATTTGCGAATTAAAAACCATGGTATATCCCGTTCAAAAAAATTTTTCACAGAGGATTTAAACGTTAATACGCGTCAGAAAAACCTGCTAAGAAAATAATTTCAGCTGTACCTGGGATCCGAAGCATTCAAGATTCGATCGAATAGAAGGCGCATTAAAGTTCGTGATCCCTCAACTATTGCAATATTTGGTATCGGAGCTGATCTGGACTGATACAAACTTTCTTCTTCACCAATCTGCAAGAATATTTCATTTGAATTAATGCTGAATTGATACTTTAACAACCAAAAAAAGTTCGCTGAATGGAACAGTGGTAATGAGGAGACATCCAGACTGAAAAGAAAATAATGCGAACTTATAGCCAGCCTCAACTATGATAAGCTAAAACGAAGCCAAAGATGAATCCTCTGTTGTGGCGATATTTGTAATGAAGACTCAAATTTGTTCGCTAGTCCATCAACTTCTTTT